GTAGCTGATTTTTTTATTCCATCTCAAATAAAACAAAAGTTATTCTTATCAGTTGTTACATGTGTTGGAGACTGTTATTGTTTATATAGACACGGAATTTTCCAGAACATTCTATAAATATTCAATATAAATATAATATCTCAGTCAAACAATGACAACAATCAACAGGGGCCCCCACACCAAATATGCCTAATCGCCCCCTCTTCATCTGTTACGCCACTGGCCCTGGGTGTATCATGTCGGCCAACAATAGTTGTGATCGCAGTATATTTGAGTTTGCATGTATGGGCGAAAATAAGCTAGTTGAAAATTTGACGAAAGTCGCAAGCTTAATTAGTAGTTTTGACCAGTTTTCAATAAAGCTGACAAAAGCTGGGATACTTTTGTTGCTTGCTGCAAATCTTGACAGGACATGGCTTCTTTTAGGCCTGAGCGGTTTCTTTTTACTCATATAAATGACCTATAGACTTGCGCACAAGTTGATCTCGAATAGTGAGCGGCGAAGCAGCGAGGGGCGATTACGAACCGCGAAAAGAAACTACTGGGAAGGACTTTGGGAAAGTCTAATAAATGACCAGGTGCCATGCAGTTGTACGAAGGCCAGATAGTGCTATCCACTGCATGGATAGTGACAAAAAGCAATTTCACTGTACCTGGCAAGAAATGTTACATGAAGTGGTGTAGAAAGCTCGCGGGCGCATATAGATAAAAGGCGCGAAAATATTTAGGTAGTTTGTTGCTTGGTTTTGTAAAGTTTTGTAAAATACTAAAATCTAATTGAATCATTCACAATAACTTGTATAGTACTCATTTATTATTTTAAGTAATCTCGTTCGATATAATTCGATTCACACTAAATTGGTATTGTTATTTAGCGAATGTAGTGGTAAGTGCTTCTAGTGCACTTGACAGATTTGTGAGAGTGAAAGAGTAAAATTGACGTCTGCAATCTGGGATACACCAATCAACGGATTATTTTAGGAAGCTTGGATACTAGTTCTATCCAACTTTCGTACATGCAACCGGCCCCTGGTATATTGACTGCCTCCTCCACAAGCCCTATAATGAATTAGCCTTTCTCACGAAGGCCAAATTCGCCATTTTTGGGATACTTTTTTTGAAAACGACGTGAAAAATCTAAGCGATGTGAAAACATTTTTTCAAATATTTAACCGTAAATTAACTTTTAATTATTATACTCATGCACAATTATAGTTATGCAAATCCCTTATTCACTACGTACAATCTCAGATTTGGAAAAGGCAGTACCCCAAAAAAGGCGGTGTGAGAAAGGCTAATTCCCTAAGGCTAAGGTAGAGTATGCAGTTCGCAGGTTAGAGATTTAAAAGGAGGAGGTAGGTGTGTTGATAAACTATTTGTATGCTCATGATTCTTATGAACTTCGACGTTTCGAGGGAAGGGCCTTCGTCAGGACTTCCCAATGAAGCGCCTGCGCTCGAAACGTCGAAGTTTTGCTTGTATTTTTCAGGTAGTTGTGTCCCTATCAATCTGCAGCTTTCCTATTATTATCATCACAACTCGCACAGACCGTTCGAGATTATAGTACTACAGGAGCATGCGCAGCTCAAGTGCACCACTAGCGCAAAGAAAGACATACTATACTTTTGAATCAATACCAAAGCTTAGCCTAGTTTTCCACTTCAATCGTACCGAAACGTAGCGTATTTCTTTGTTTCCTGGGCGGTAGTGTGGAACTAATGACTTCGACACAAAAGAAAATGCTACGGTACGTTATGAGACGGTGGAAGTGGAAAACAGCTAGGCTTAAGGATCCCAAATAGACTACAAACTAACGACACTAACCGACTAACAAACTCACGCTGCGAATGTAGAGCTATGCCTGACATCGTTTGGACATCCCAAATGCCTTGCCACCTTCAGGGCTGAACTAGAGCTAGTCAGCTAGAATGGGAAATATATCATGTGTACAGAGTATCAGGCAGTCATTTATATACTATTCAATGGCGACTGCAATGGCCCATGACCAGGCCTCGAAACAGTGCATTTTTTAAGGATTCTTCAGTGGGGCAAAACAGACAAAGGGCCCATTCTTTCCTTGCCCTCCCCCGCCCCCAAGGGTACTGCATAAGCGAGTTGGCTAAGGGGTCTGGGGGCATGCCCCGCCAGGAAATTTGTAAAATTTGGGTCTCTGAAATAGCATTTCCTGGCATTCCTGCATTCTGAGAACACATTTAAAAAAAATCTCAGCTTCTCAAAACAAAGTTTTAATGGTGAAATTTGTAATAAATTGCATGCTAAACATTCAAAGACAACGTAAGTTTAAGTACAGTATAATCACCAACAAATTTGGTTTTTTAAACTTCTCAATGTTAAACTCATTTACTCAATACAGGTCTTAGGGCCCTGGCTTTGGGGCAATAGGCCATTTTTTTCTTCAGTGGTGGGGCAGAGGAAGGGGCCCAGTGGGGCAAATGCCCCACCAGTCCATGGTATTAAAAAATGCCTTGCCTCGAAATAAATCTGGACGTTATACCGGTTATTATGACCGGTGGATCACTAAATTACCGGTCACAGCGGAATTTATGCCGGTCATTGTCACTCCTTAGCTTCTTTTTTCCCCTCATCTTTCGCGCGACTCGTGACTTTAGAAACAATTCTGTATTTTGAATTGTATTTGTATACAAAGTAGAAGTATGGCATTTATCAAAGCTGTAGTATTAACACATGAATATTTCGTATTTGGATGCTGAAAACAATACTAGATTCCCCTTATTACGATTTCGTATTACGAAAACGTAATAAGGGGAATCTAGTATTGTTTTCCATGCTTGCTTGTTAAGTCGCAAATGACAACTGTTATTTGAGTTGCGAACACAGTGGCGGAAATCGTGGTGGGGCGGGGGGGGGGGG